GAACAACAAGGAGATCAAATCAGTCAAGAAATTAATTCAGACTATTCACTGGAAGGTCATATATTGAAGCTGAAGCATAAATACTTTGGCCACATAATGAAAAGATGGGACTCATTGGAAAAGACCCTGATGCTGGAAAAGACTGAAGCCAAAAGGAGAAGGGGACAGCAGAGGAAGAGACGGGATAGGCCATAGTTCATAGAAGCAACAAACATGAGCTTGGACAGACTTCAGAGACAGTGGAGGATATTACAGCCTGGCATGCTATGGTCTATGGGTTCATGAAGAGTTGAACATGACTGAACAAACAACGAAAGGTCTTGTAAGAGGCAGAGGTGTGGACAGCAAGATCAGTTTGGGTTTGGTGCCGAGATGTGAAAGGGCAGAATCTGAAGTAAGCCTGGAGAGGAAGGTTAGAGCCAAATTATGGATGGATTTAAATACCAAACAAGAGTTTGTATTTGAATGTGAGGCAATGTGGAGCCATTGAAGTTTACTTTAACATAGGGAGCGACCACTTTAGGCTGTGTGGAGGATAAGTGAGTTAAAAAGGGGAGAGACTTGAAGCAGAGAAAGCATATTACAATAGTCCAGGTGAGAGGTGATGAGGACCTGGAGCAGAGCAGTACTGGGTAGACAGAAAGGGGACAGATTTGAGATGTGAAAGTTGAATCCAGACTTGGACACTGACCCAGAACTGGCTCAGGGTTTCCTATATCCTCCATCCCAGTCATCTACAAGCTGACCACAGGCTCACACTGTGTATCATGGGTGGGAATTGAGTTGGACCAAAGTAACAACATTCTAGTGTTTGTACTACATGTTCTTTATAGCACCCCATCTTACTCGTGATGTTTATTGTTGCCGATCCTCCTGAGGACACCATTATTCCCCTTTTACAAAGGAGAAAACTGAGGATGGGAAGTGACTTTGCCCAAAGTCAGAGCAAGTCTGCGACAGAGCGAGGTCTTGAACTCAGATGTTCTAAGTCCTTGCCAAGGATCTCTCCCCTGGGTCCTGCTTTAAGAGTTAGAGCACCAGAAAATGTTCTAGTCAGATTCCCCTTCACTGTTCAGGTCAGAGGACAGGTTTTATAGCTCTCATTTATTCAGTCTTTGCCTACATTACCTAATTTGATTCTCATAACAATCCTACCACATAGGTATTATAATCTCCCTTTTACAGATACTTTAAGAAAATAGTATTTTTTTTCCAATTACATGTAAATACAATTTTCTAACATCCTTTTTTTAAAATTTTGAATTCCAAATTTTTCTCCCTCCCTTCCTTCCCTCCCCCTCCCTAAATGGTAAGTAATTTTTATATAGGTTATATATATACAATCATGCCCATTCTACAGATAAAGAAAGGAAGTGTCAAGATTCAGTAACTTGCCCAAGATCATATGGCTAGTAAATGTCTGAGACAGGATTTAAACCCAAGTCTTCCTGACTCCAAGTACAATGCTCTTTCTACTATAGTACGTGGACCCCAAAGTCATTGCAGCACTGAACACTGCCATTTTAATTTCCACTGAACTCCAGTAAACAACTGTAACATCAATGGTTTTATTTTGTTCATGCTTCAATTGTGCCTAACAGGAAAAATTTTGTCTCAGAGGTCACACATCTAATGTAAAAACCAATCATCTACAAAATCACATAAAAACATTACTGGCTTAATAACTGCTATCATCACATCAGGGTCCATAAAAGTGGCTGAGATACTCCTCATACCAAAAAGGGCTGGGGGGCCATATTGGCCTAGACTCTTGAACCTGGCTGGCATTGTACCCTGGGGTATGACAGGAAGTATGTATGATAGGGCAGCTAGGTGGCGCAGCAATGGATAGAATACCAGGCCAGGACTGGAGTTAGGAAAACCTGAATTCCAACCTGGCCTCAGATACCTACTAGTTATGTAACCCTGGATAAATCACTTAACCCTGTTGGCCTCAGTTGCCTCATCTGTAAAATGAGCTAGAGAAGGAAATGGCAAACTACTCCAGTATCTTTACCAAGAAAACCCCAAATGGGGTCAGGAAGAGTGGACATAACTGAATCACCACCACCACAACATATAAAATAGAGAACTAGTGCTGGGAGTGCAAGGACTTGGGTTTGAAGCCCATCCACCTACTACCCGGATGACCCTAGAAATAATGAATATTTCTAAGGTGGGTTCAGTCCAGTTTCTTGCCTCTAAACCATCTTCCAGACCATTGCAAACTTGATATTCCTAAAGCACAAGTCATTATCACACCGGACCTCCTTGCCCAAGAAGTTTCAGTGGCTCCTACTATCTCCAGAATAAAAACCAAATTCAGTGGATGCGGCATTTGGAGCTCTTCATAGCCTGACTTCAGCCTAGCTTTAACTGGCCTACTCACTGTTCCCTGTACAAGATATTCCACCTTTGGCCTCCAAGCTTCAGACACTGTTCCCCAGGCCCGGAATGACCTTTCCTATTCTCTGCCTTTTGGAATCCCCAGCTCCCTTCCAAGGCTCCCCTCAGGTGCCAGATCCTATCAAAGTCTTCTCCTGATCCACCTTTATCCCAAATTACTTTGTGTAGATGTTTGTATCTGCTTCTCTGTGGACATGTTTCTGCCAGTAGAATGTACTCTTTTTGAGAACAGAAACTTTCATTTTTATATCCTCCTTCTCCTCCCCCCAGGACCTTTCCCAGTGCCTGACAGCTACATGGCACAGTGAAGACAGCTCAGCCTGGAGTCAAGAAGATCTGAGTTCAAATTTGGCCTTAGACACTTACTAGCTGTGTGACCATGGACAAGTCATTTGATCTCTCTCTGCCAGTTTCCTCATCTGTAAAATGGGGATAAGAGCACCTACTTCCCAGGGTTGTTGTGAAACTCAAATCAAATATCTGTAAAGGCACTTAAGAGATGCTTATTTCTTTCCCGAGTAAGTTGAACGTACTAAACGAGGGCAATAATCCTTCACTAGCCCAGCTCCCAAGGCTGCTGTGAGGACAGTGCTATTTAGCCCCAGAAATGCAAGCATTTTTTGGTTTGTGACTTTCCTCTTTCTGCCATAGTGCCACCCTCCCTCCTCAAAAGATACTGTCCCTGGCCAGCTAACAGGTTACTACGGCAACCCTTACCTGCCCATCCTGATCAAGAAAGCACAGCAAACAAGGGGTTTTGTGAATAAGCTCAGCACCTTTTATTAAAAAATAATAATAGTTACAAAAAAGAAATTAACAGTTGCAATATCTCTATGTACAGTCCCCAACGCTACCCAGCGCTTTAGGACTCTCTCCTGTGGGTGCCTGATGCATCACAGAGGCTAGGGCACCAAAGCCGTGCTTATGAGGGCCCCTCCTTGGCGACTACCCATTCTGACTCTGGGCATCCTGGCACACTGAGACCTCTGATCTATCCCAATTTAATATCCAATTGGGAGAGAGGAAGAATAAGATTTAGAGCTAGAAAGGAGAGCTAGGAGAGTATCTAGTTCAAATCCCTTGTTTCACAAATTGGGAAACTGAGGCCCAGGGAGATTAAAGAAGGGAAGGACACAAGGCAGAAGGGGGGTTGGAGGGGAGGAGAAAAGCCTGGAAAAACTTTGAAAGGTAAATGCTTCAAAGAATCCTCATAGGAGAAGGGACCAGATGCACTGGGTCCATTCATAAAGGAGAAATATCCAGCCAGGAAGGCTCTTGAGAAAGTGGGGCACTTGAAAAAAGAAGAGAAAGACTATTTTCTTTCCCTTTTAGCAGTCCACTAGCAGCAATGGCCCCGGCCCCAAACTGGCAGAGCCCTTTGGGGCTAAGGTTTCTTCTCTGAGAAGAGAGGGACCTGCTAAATTTCTCAATTGGCCACTGGCTGAAATCCAGGAGCCAAGCATCATTGACTGACCCCTCCCTGCTTCCCTTCCCTTCCATCCAGCTGCTTTTGCCTCTGAAGAAGGCAGGCAGGGAGTAGGGGGCTCACTGTTCAGCACGTCTCAGCTGGCTGCCCCTGCTCTCCCAACTGGAATAGATGAGGGCCTCCTCCTCCATAGGGCCAGCTAATGATTTCCCCCAGGGGGCCAAGTTTTATGAGGAAGAAGGTGTCCTTCCCCCCAGGGGAGTCACAGGCTTAAGTCAATGGCCAATTCAATACTCCTTCAGAAGGCATTGAGCTTAGAGCCTATTTGAACCTGGGGGAGGAGGGCACATACCACTCATCTCATCTTCTTTTCCCAAGTGGCTTTTGCAGGCCCATACCACCCAAATCAACCTTTAAAGTAGGGAGATCTGGTTCTTTATTGTATGCCCTGGAGACCTCTGACAGAGACCACCCTGCAGAACACTGAGGCCCCAAGTGACCAGTTGGAGACCTGGGCTGACAGTGAATCAAGGAAAGTCTACTTAAGCCTCCTGGGAAAGAAGAAAGCCAGAGGGGAGCTGGTTCTTTAATGCTTCCAGGAGGCTAGCCCCTATAGGCACCACTACCCTGAGGGTCCAACAGCTCCAAGTATCAATTTGGTTCCCAAAAGCCATGGAAAGAGGGACTCAGTAGCTCCAGACATTACAAGGATTTTATTGTTGACCTTCTTTCTTGCTCCGACCCCCTTGTTTCCTTTAAAGGGAGGCTAAAAGTTTGGCCACCAGGTAATGGTGGGTTTTTTGGCCACAGTCAGATCTATATCCACTGAAGTGTGGAGGCAGCACTCATACTTAAGAAGAAATCAAAAGCCCCTGAAACAAGAAAATGCAAGGGGCTATATTTAAAAACAAAAACAAAAACCAATAAACTCCTCTGTTCTTCTTGAACGGTGTGGCCCCTTACAGTGGTCCTGGCCACTGGAGACGCTTAGAAATACAGGGGGATAGACCCTCTGTTGTCCAAAAACCCAACACATAAAATTCCACCAGGCTGTAATTCACAAGGTAGGCCACAGATCTCATTGGATATAACCTGAAGATTCAAAGTCATGACATTTTCAGGCCAAGCACCCCCCGCAAAAGGCCACCAGGGCATGTGTTCACAAGCAGGATGATGGCAGCTACTACTCTCCTTACTTTTTTTTTTTTAAATTGGTATCAGAGATACAGAACAGTCACTGGGGAAAACAGATTCAGGGCAGAGGATGTGGCATGGTGGGAGCTGAAGGAGGAGAGTGTCTAATTTTCCCTTAAAAAAAAAGAAAAAGAAAAAGAAACAGATTTGAGATACCACCCTCCTAAATGAAGAGACTCTATCCCCTCATCCACACAGTAACTCCCAGCACATTAAACAGCCAACCTTGGAACACATACCCCTCCAGATAATTCAAGCCAATGGGAAAACTGGATCAGATTTACAGTGTTTTGCTTAGAGGGCAAACAGTCATTTTCACATATGGTACAGAACGATACCTGCATCCATCTCTCCTCCTGGGGAGAGGAAGCAATTGAATAAAGGATCAATAAAAGCCTCTAGAATCATACGCTCCATGCTGGAAGGAAGTGCATGGACAACTTTGGTCCAGAATGTAGTGGCTTTTGTCAAGAACAACACTGATGACACTGGACCAAGGGCCTTGTGCAGGGCCCTAAGGAGAAAGAGTGAATTGAGCCCCTCAGGCTAGCCAGTGCCCACAGGGCTTCATCTGGTCCTCCATGCCCCCACCAAGTTGTGCCACACAGAGAGATGGACCATGGCCAATCTCCTGGAGTATGTGGATCCTGTTTGTTTTTTCCCTTAAAAAACAAACAAGAAGACGAACAAAACCCCAGGATCCCTACGCTGTTCCCATGTCTTGGTTATCATTAAGGCAAAAGAGGGTTCTTCTTATCTCAGTGCTGGAAGGGGAGCACATGGCTGAACTCCAGGACCTTCTCCCATGGCAAATGGTCCATGGCCATGGAAGCCATTCGAAAGCTGATGCCATGTGATTCTAACCTGTTCATTCAGTCACCAATGACATCTGTACAAAAGCTGAAATCTATACAAACATTTATTTTGTTCCAGCTGAGAGGGAAAGGGAAGAAAACTAGGCAGTGGAGAACAGTACCTATGCAGCCTTGCGGAAATTTCCCTTAATAAAAACAAACCCCATAAATTCAGTGGAAATAAGAAAAAAAGTTACAAAAGAACAGGCCGATGTTTCCATGTCACTGATTCCAGTGCCACACCAGACGCTGATGTTCAGGAAAAGGGCCAAGGATGCTACCCCAGGCCACTTTCATCAGCTGAGCAAACTGAAGCTGTGTCTAGGACTCCTGGGTCACTCCCAGAGCTCAGGGTGGGAATGCCTAGATCACAGCTGGTTCATCTCCATGAAGACACAGAAGGGGAAAAGGCCCCAGTGTAGGGGCCAAAGTACTAGAATGCGCCAAAAGACATGCTGTTCAATCCCCCTCCATGGGAGGTGACGCTTTTTCTCCAAGAGGAACAAACCAGGGGAAGGGGCCAAGATACAAAACCCAGAACAAGGCTGAGGTCCCTATGCATGTGACAGGGAATTGGGGTTCCTGGGGAAGGTGGGATGTGGCATGCTCAGAAGTTCCATACCAGCCAGGGGCTTAGGCCTTCCTTGGGATTCCAGCAGTGCAGCCTGTCCCATGAGGGGACGAACGTGTTTAAGACACCAGTGGCTTCTTTCCCCCAAGGACAGTGGCTAGGGGGTAGCATCATGGAGAGCTGCCTCACTCGACGTTGGCTTCAAGGGAATGTGACCTGTGCCCTCTAGGAAATGTCATCCTGCTGGTATCCTGCTCTTTCCCTCAGGAGCTGGACAGGGCCCTGTCAGATTTTCTTCCAAACATTCACCAGCCCCAAGGGTGGCGCAGCACCAGATCCTTGCAGCGACAGGCAGGCAGACAGATGCTGTGCAATTCTTCAGGTTTAAATTAAAAATGATAAAAATAATAATAAAAAATAATAACCCTATTCCCCCCTCCTAAATAAACCCGGAAACTATACATACCCTTCCCTGCCCACCCAACCCACCCTCCCCTTAACATCATGTAAAAAGAAACAGTACTTTGCAGACCTGATCAAACTGCCTCTGGGGCAGAGAATTAGGACCTAGTTCTGGGTGTGCAGCTCAACATGACCTTGTGGGACCGGAAAGGCAAGAATCAGAAATGCTCATCTGATGGAGACAAGAGGTACAGGAGCCAGGGAGCCCAGCCCCTTGTGCTGAGCTGGCACAAGTCTTTAGATTCCACGAGCACCCCAAAGTGCACAGACACGCCAGGGTAAAGCATGCTGCTGGGCTGGGGCTAAGGGGGGAGCAGGGGCAGGGAGGGAAGGAGGGTGGGGCTCTGGTAGGGGGTGGGCAGGGGAGGATCTTGTTGTTTGCAAGGTGAACAGTGTTAACTCTGAGGATTTATTGCACTGCTTTGGAGGAAGTGAGGGGACTGGGGTGGTGATGGAGGGGATGAAGATAGAGAGGGTTAAGGAGGAAAGGGGAAAGGAATGGGGGGAGAGAGGAGTCATCGCTTGACTTTTGAGTCTTCTTTGATTTTCCAAATCATCAGTTCCATGCAAGAACTGGCATCTTCACTTGAATCATGGCCTTCCACTATGGGGAGAGAGGAGAGAGGGAGGTCAGTGAATACTAGAGCCCATGAAATCAAACACAGATGGATGGAGCATCAGAGCTAGAAAGGACAGTGGAGATCACCAGTAAGCCCAGAGAGGGGAGGGCCCTAGCCAGGGCCACACAACTGTCAGCAGCAGAACAATTTCACGATGGCCCCTGGACATCCCAACTAGACTAGCCAAGACCTAATGTCACCCAAATTAGCTTTCAACTATTTACAGAAAAAAAAGAGATGATGTGATTTAGAGGCAGAAGAGAGGGGCTTTTGAGATCCAGTCTGACCGTATGATTTTATAGATGGAAAAATCTGGTCCTACCCAGGAAGGGTTGAGTGATTTGCTCAATGTCACACAGGTCACAGAATCAAGATTTGATACCCAGTCCTATGACTCCCTGGTGCTAGCAGGGGTGGCCATCTAATGACTAGGCCATACTGCTCGGCTGGTTCCAGAGGCAGGAAAGGAGAAGGAAAACAGTGAGAAAACTCACCATTGTCCTGGATAATACGCTTGAGGTAGTCGGCCATCAGCGTCCGCAGTGCCCTCTTGTAGGGGAGTCCGAGGCGGTGAGGGAAGACCACTGATGTGTCCACTACTGTGGTGTGAATAAGCTAAAGGAAAGAGAGAGGGAAAAGGAATAAAGTTGTAAGTGACTGTGCACGTACCCATCTGTATCTATGTATTCTAGTGCCTGGGTCGGCTCTCAGGCTCTATTCCTTGTCATTTCTTTTCTTTTCTTCTTCATTTTTAAAAAAAAATTTTTTTTTTTCGGTGAGGCAATCGGGGTTAAGTGACTTGCCCAGAGTCACACAGCTAGTAAGTGTCAAGTGTCTGAAGCCAGATTTGAACTCGGGTCCTCCTGACTCCAAGGACGGAGCTCTATCCACTGCGCCACCTGGCTACCCCCTCAGGCTCTGTTCCTGACTCAGGGATTTAGTCCCATTCACCTGGGTGAGCCCAGTTCCAATGTGCAATCTCCCACAGGCCCTTCTGAAATAACACACCAGACAAAGCTCCCACCAAACCAGTTCCTGAAGGAGCCAATTTGAGGAGCAACAAGTCCACAGGCCCCAGCCACCCACAGAGGCCTGCTCTTTGTCAACTACCAGCTCTCCTCAGAAACCCTCCCTCTTTAATGATGTCCACACTCCACGGAGAACCCAAATAGCCTCCAACGGCAGCAGGGGGTAAGCTCTTTAGTAAGAGCTGAAAGAACTTTGAAAAACACCACCACCACCACACGCACACAAGCATTCCACTGTTCTTTTTCCTGAAGGGTGGAACACATTAAACTAAGATAAACTGGACCAGATGCCAACCAGAGAGCTAACTCAGTCAGGTTCTTTAGAAGGCAAAGCATTAGTTTGTCTTTTTCTGTTTGTTTACACCAAATGAGACTGGCATGTCTTAATCTCAATGCATTGCTCTGCCCAGGTGGCTGACTGGAGCTTTGGGCTAACAGCCTGCAGATTTGATGTGGAAAACCATGAAGCCATTGGTGGAGGAGGAGGGAGGACTGCATCACTCCAAGGAAATAGAGAATGAACTCTAGTGGGGACAGGTGGAAAAGGATAAAGGAAAAATCCAACTTCTCACATCCTCCAGGGAGAAAGAAGCCTGAAGCTTCACCTTCAAGCAGCAGAGCCAAACTCCCATTTCTAAAGTGCTTTAGAGGGCTCACAATATCCCTGAGAGGTCCTATGAGGAGACTGAAGGATTTAGAGCTAGAAGGGGCCTTAGAGATCATCTAGTCCAATTCCTACAATGTACCAATAAGGAAACTGAGGCCCAGGGATATTAAATAACAAAGGTTACACTGGGAAGAAGTAGCAAGACCAGATTTTGAATGCAGCACTTCCCTCCGTCAACTATGCAGGGCTATCCTCACAACGAATCATGAGTGGAGTAGCACATTATCTTCATTTTACAGAAGAAACTGAGTTTCAGACCTGAGCTTCACTTGCCTAAGGTTGGAGTTAAGTAGCTGCAGTACGAACCAATCAGTTACTACAGTTTCCTATTAAGTTTTCTGTACAAGTTTCAAAAACCATTTTTGTAAACGTTGATTAGCACTGTGCCAGGCCCACCATCCGAATCAGCTGCCTCCTTTGGTTTGGGTAGCTCACCGAAACAGTCCCAGTCTCCCTCCTGAGCCCCAGGAGTCCTACCACCTGGTGACTATGGGCCATTTCAAGGTGGATACCCCACAGCCACTCTCAGATCCAACGTGTCAGAAAGAGGATTCTATTTTCCCTCTAAGCCCACTTGTCCTCCAAGCTTCCCTAGTTTTGCCCAGGGTTCCCTTAGCTTTTCAGTCACCTAGATCCCCCTCACTGCCCACAGCCAGTTGGCATGCCTGCTTGCCTCTATTCCTACAACATCACTTACCCGCTCCCCTACCTCAGGCCAGGGCCTTGCCACTTCTGGACTAGACTTCTGTAACAGTCTTAAGTTTCTTCCTTCTCCACTCCATCTGCCACACAGCTGCCCCAAAGCTCAGTTCTCCCTATGTCATTTTCCTGTTCAACAAACTCCAATGATTCTCTAGTACCTCTAAGATTAAATAGAAATTCTTCTGTTTGAATTTAAATCCTTTCACCAACCTGGTCCCAACCTACCTTTCCAGACTTACACACACGTGTGTATATGCATATACATACACATGTGCACACACACATGCAAGGACAGGAGGGATATGAGAGCCAAGGAGACTGCTGTCTATCTCTATATCCACATCTATATTTCGTTATCTCTATTTCCTGCTTCACAACTTCAGGTTATTTCCCCGCCTCCCAGGTCTACCTGGGTCCAAAGCTAGGTTCCAGACAACAACAGCAAGACAAATGGCTAGATTCCTTACTAATAGGGTTTCTGTTCCTGATTAGAGAGAGTGGAAATCAATTTCCTTGCAGGCTTTGCAGTCTGGCTATGGTAACTTTACCAAGCTGGTGGTAGAGTTCCCGGGGAACCTAGAGTGAAAGGAAGCCTCAACATCCCTGGGATTCTCCTGGCTTGGTTACTAGCTTCATCTCCCAAAACTGCTCCCAGAGAATTTGAAAAGACCTGGGGGCTGACTTGCCTAAGGCAACTGTACCTTATAGGTGGGTATCCAGGCCTGGACTGAACACATCCTGATGTGAGGACCTGACCACCTCCCAGGGCAGCCCAAGCCATCCACTGAGGATCAAACAGCAAAAGGAATTTCTTTCTTATCCTGAGCTGAAGTTAGCCACCTAACCCTCCCACTGACCTGCTCTCCCCTTTCCCTGGGTCCTGGCTCTAGCCTGGGGAGCTACACAGAACAAGTCTCCTCCCTCTACCTATGATGGCCCTTCAGATAGAGTTGAAGGCAGTGACTGTGCCCCGAGCCTTTTTTTTTGTCTGTTCTCCAGGTGAAATATCCTCTCCCCCACCCTAAAGGAGAAATGCCTAATCTTCTCTCCAAAGAGCCTCCACATGAAGGAAGGCAGCAATCCGAGCTCAGTCACAGGTCTTTTCCTTTAAAAAAACCAATCCAAGTAGCTGCTGAGGGTGTGGTGCATGGGGTAGAGTGGGGAGAAGAAGGAAGGCGCAGACTCCTACCTTGAGAGCAAATAAGTCACTTTCTAAGCTGTGTCCTATCAAGATGGTGTCTGAACTGAACATGTTCAACAATACTGCCTGGACATCCCGAAGGGTTATACACGCATTCTGCAGGTCTTCTTCTGTCACCCCAGAAAACCTGCATGGAGAGGTAGAAACAGAGAGGTCATCAGTCTTTGAAAGGAATGGATCTCAGAAAACTTCCCATTAACCAGAGCTGGAGGGGGTTCCAAGCAGGCATCAAGATGCCACCAGATACAGACACTTTCACCCAGCCTACAGTCCAGCCCAAGTGGATAGCTGCTTGTCCTCTTTTTAGCAGTTCCCATTTCTGGGCTTCTGCCAACCTTGTGCCAGGCCTTACATGACCTCCCACCTCTTTTAGGCCCAGTTCAGATGCCATCTTAGTGGAAGAGAGGGAGCTCTTCCACCAACTTGCCATACCATAGTGCCTGGTATCACATTCCACTCTGTGTGAGCATACTTGTCTGCATGCCTCACTATTCCTTTCCACCTCATCCCCAGAAAGAAATAAGCTCCTTGAGGATTGGGCCATGTCCTGTATTCTCTTTGTAACCCTAGCACTCAGCACAGGGCTTTGCATGCAGCAGGCACTTACTACATACTTGCTGAACCCAATCATGACCCCGGTAGCAGCCTTGAAGAGGCTTACCTCCTAACTTCTATGGCATGGTCAGACAGGAATTAAGAGCTGAACTGTCTCAGGAGAGTCAATGAGAATTCAGTGAAGATGGAAAGAGAGGAGAGGGGCTAACAAGGTAAAGAAAGGTTTCACAGAGAGGAAAGGACTAGAGTTAAACCTTTGAGGATCAACTGGCTTTTGAGAGGTCAAAAGGAGAATGAAAGGCATTCCATGTCAGGGGTTCACAATGACGGGATGGGGGATGAGCAAGACATATGTGTTGGCGAAAATGAATTCGTCCAGACCAGGAAAAAGTTTAAACAGGGGGCCTAGGGTCAGATGGCAGTGGGTCTCAGAAAGTAGGGAATTAATGACCCAGACAACAAACAGGGAGCCATTGTCTTTCTAAAGGGAGAAGATAAATGTGAAAAGAATGAGATTGGTATGGGAAAAGCCTATACTGCCCCCAAAGAGACCTGTGCTTCCCCACGAGCGAAACTGGCAGAGAATCCAAAAGGACAAAAACTCCAACTGAGCAAGAAGAGACCAAGCTGATTCTGTCTGCACAGAGCACCGCTGAAACGGCAGGCAAAAATCCTCACTCACCTGGTGTTGTAATCCACAACTTTGTTGTCTGGTTTCACAAATGTGTCATAGACAACTTTCAAATCAGAGTTGATCACGGTTATTCTCGTCAGCTCCAGGCCTTGCTTGGTGTAACACTAAAAGGGAGGCAAACATAGAGAAGGGTTCGAATGTGTTGATTCCTTTCCATACAAGTCAGGTGTATAAACAACTTCTTATGATTCAGGTTTTCACCATATTTTATAATAAGAGACTCTTCAATGCAAAAGCTTAGAGAAAGCACAGAGGTTCCTGGTCAGGCAGCTGGCCTCTTTGCTCCCCTTTGCTCCTAACTTATCCCCAATCCCAATAAAGACTTTTCCTTAATCAAAGGAAAGGGAATCAATGTAGCAGATTCCCAGGATGTATCTTGAACCACTTATATGTAATGATAAAGCAGAAATGGCCCCAATTTTTCAGTGATGGATTATGCCAGCCAAAGTTTAAAGCAGGGGTGAGAGAAACTTTTCTCTATGGAGAGCCACTGTGACCCAAAATTGGAACGAAGTGAGGGCTACACACAATTTAAAGACAACAAATCAAGGGCTTTGACCCCAGAAGTGGAGGGATCTCACACTCAAACAGCAAAACCTATCCTTCAAAGGGAGCCAGTGAACCCTGAGGGGAGAATATTAGTATTATGAATTCTGATCACTGTCAATGGAGATCAAGAAACATAACTTTTTGTTTAATAGAAGCAATCAATTTTTTAAAAATGTACTTTAATGCCAAAGTTAAGGAAGACTAGGATGTGGGGGTGGCCAGAGAAAGGAATAAGGCAGATACAGGAGGGAAAGAAATGCAGAGGGAGAGATATCCATAGGAAAAAGACTGAAAGAAGAGGTAAGAAAGAAAAGAGAGGTAGAATAAGAAATAAAAAAATCCTGAAAGACTCCAAAAGTTCTGAAGTAACAGTAACAAATTTGGGGCTGTGTCATATCACCCAAAATCATTTCAAATTTAAATACTGATTAACTATCACTCATTGCTCCTTGCCTTTTCTTTATCCTGAAACATTCAGGGGCTTCATGGCAACTTACCAGAAAGAAAATTAAACTCTGAACCCCAGGCAGTAACCAATCCTCCTCATATTACCCCCAAGGCTGGCTGAAGTCTGCTGAGGTCCAGAGGCCATGTAGCCCTGTTTGAAGGACACTGCTGGTCCTTGGTGTAGCAGAGGATGGATAGGACAGGACAAGACAGTAAGCTAGGCCAGGTGATACTGGCTTCACCAAGGAAACACGGGCAATGCACGGTGCCAACAGCTGTGGAATAGGGCAACACCAGCCACATACCCAAGGCCTTACCATCTCACAATCGAGGGCATATATTCCTGGATACCCATCTGAAGAGGGAAGTTTTTCAAAGGTTTTCACGAACCCTTCAAGGTTATCTTTGCGACCATCTTGCACATGTTGCTATAAGGGAAACAGAGAGGCACTAAGGTAAAGACCTTTCTTCTGGAAAAGGCTGTTAAAAGTCAATGGTCTGCAAATAAGTAAAACAGCCTGACATCAGCTGGGGCCAATGAGGAAGCTGAGGCAGATGAACTGTCTCTTAGGGCCTCCTGGCTCTGACATTCAGAGGTCTGCACCCTAAAGCATCCGGGTCAAACTCAAGTAGAAATGGGGCCACCAACCCACATAAGGACTCCTGAGGCTATATACCAACTTAGAAAACCACATAGTAACATTACCTGTGCTTCACTGTAGCTAATTTTGTTAATTATTTCCCAAAGGACATTTTAATCTGATTTAGGGAGTATTGTGGGCTTCATGTCTGACATCTCTGCTCTAAGGTACCTCCAAGTAAAGGCAGAACTTCACATGTCTAAGTGATTTATGGTTTAACAAAGCACTTTCTTACCAAAACCCTGCGAGCCAGGCAGTGCAAGTAATATTACCTCCCAATTTTACAAACTGGAAAAAGGAAGCTCAGGAAGGTTAACATGCTTACAGTCACACTTATGGTCAGATTAGAACCAAGATCCAAATCCACTTCTCTCCTAATCCCGTCTGATGCACAGAACTCAAGCTCCGCCAGCTCAGGCTCTAAGGGCCCTCCCAGCTTGGACACCTGGACAATGCTTTACGGTATTCAGTGAGAACCTAGCACAGCGCGACATACAGTATGCATGTGTGAACTTGTGTAGATACATGCATATGTATGTGTACACACACACCCCCCCTACCTCCACCTCATAGAATCCATCATCTCCTTTAAGACTCAGCTCAAGAAGCACTTTCCATCTAAAGCCCCCACTCCTCACACCTTTCCTCCCTGCATAAATGACTTTCTATTTTCCTGGCATGTGTTCTGTGCACACTGACGTGGAGGCAGGCAGCATGGCAGAGGCCAGAAGGCTCAGAATCCTGCCTCTGACACAGCCTCTTCACCAGTCAAGGCCCGAGGCAGCTCGCAGACTTTAAGCTGCAGACTTGCTTTAGGAGAGGACTTTCTTCACTAGCTCGAGGAGGACAGGGACTAACTGTATTTCTGACTGTGTACTTCCTGTTTCTGGCATATGACGGGCCCTTCCTCAGGGCATGTGGCCTGAGTGACTGACAAGCCACTACACCATCTAAAGAGGAGACCCCTGCCCAAGCTGGACATGGTTCATGAAGCGAAGCAGCTCAACAGCCTGGCTGGCTCGTCAGGCAGATGCTGAAACCTGGTCCTCGGAGGCCTGCCTAAGAATGCGGCAACACGAGAAGCCCATGCCGGGCGTGGCTCAATGGCCTTCTTACCTATAATACTTTCTAAAGGATGACCGAACAATGGGAATGCTTACGTTGATCAACAAGATATGATCTGTGTGAACTCTTATTCCCAGAACCAAAAACAACACTATCCTGGATGGTAGGAAAGCTTGAATGAGGTGGGGGAAGGGCATATCTTTTGTAAATCCCCTCATCCCCTCCCCGAAAGTTTCAGCTATGTGGTCACAGAATCATAGCAGAATTGGAAAGGGGCTTAGAGACCATCCAGTCAAAGCCTTTCCCTTTATATATGAGGAACCACCCAGAGGGGTTAAGTGACTTGTTCAGGGTCACAGAGATGATAAGTAGATAAAAGCTGGATTTGAATTCAGTTCTTTCTGACTCTAAGCCCAATACGAGGGCCACCTAGCTGCACCAAAGCCTACAGCAATGGGTATTCCTAGGTAATCTCCCATCCAAGTACAATCCAAGTACAATCCAAGTACAGACTGGGATACACTCTGCTTCCAAGATCAGATCAGATTGGGCATATTCAGGGGAGCGCAGCCAATGCTTTCCTCTAGGTCCCATGAATCATCATGCAGGGGCTGGGACTAGAAACAGGCAAGTTAGGTAGCTGCTGAGCACACAGCACTGAACATTTTTAAATGGCAGATCTTTTTTCTTAGAAATTTCAATACTTTTAATACCAAAAATTCCAGTTTCTACAGGACACAGAGGGTCTGTTTTGTGATATTGTCCAGGAAGACAATAATTCTGTTCTCCTCTGCCCTGGTCAGATCCCATCTGCAATATTCTATTCTGAAAATACATTTTAGATAGAAACTAACAAACTGGGAATATTCAGGGGAACATGACCAGGATGGGGAGGGGGCTAGAGGTCATCCCAACTGAAGATGAGCTGAAGCAATCAGGGAGATGGAGGGGCAGCCTTGAAAATTAACAATTAGAGCTACCGCAAAATGGAACAGGCTGTCTTTCAGCCCAGGATTCTCTAGACTTGGGCAGGAGAAAGACTAACAGCCTAGAGACCAACCACAGGGCATTGCAAGGGGAAGCAAAGTGGTGGCAAACGGGTCTTATGAGTACTGAACCCACCAAAACCATGAAATGAAAAATCGATATGCACTGAAGGACAAATGGAAGCCTACTCTTAAAGCCGAGAAACAATGCTGTGTCCAGTTGAGCTCAAGTCACTGCATTCAGCTCGCTCCTCCCCAGCTGTCCCAACCCTCTTCCAGCCATGATGGACTCTTCGACTACCCAGATGTGAGATCCTCCAGGGACCATGGAAGGAGTGCTCCTGGAGAGCCACACCAGCTGCTGTTCACCTGCTCCAGAGACGGAGAACCCCCCTCCATGAAGGTCCACACAAAGCCGGAGGGACCATTTGTATAGTCTGCAGCAGGACAGCTTCTGAGACTTTGAAATGGCTTCTGCGAAACAGCGTGAGCTCCAGCCTCTGGTGCCGAGTAACGCCCAGTGGGAGGAGATCTTCACACCTTGTTTAGAAGAGCACAAAAATGCCTGCCTAGCATCTGCTGGGGCTCATTTATGCTGTTCTTCCCCTAACCCCAACCTTTGTCCTATTTAAAGGTGTGCCACCAATTATAAGGAACTTAGGCTTGCAATCACACATGCAAGTCTCTTGGCTTTCTCCCTGTTGGGCCCTGATTCTTTATAGCAAAGAATAATACAAAAAAAGTTTTGAGAATCACTCCCTATCCTACCCGTCCTTTAAGGAACAACTCAGGTCCTATGTCCTCTTGGGATTCCCTGGCCTCCTTGAGGTCATCCCACTGTTCCTGTGGCCTTTCTCCTCTGCAGCATGCAGTTCACCCCTTGTTAATGCTCGTTCTCTAATCATCCATCAGCACTTCGCCCTGGTGCACCTCATATAACAACATATGACATTCATGTCCACCCCCCCACCCCCAGCTAGATCCCCAAAGACGGGATCTAGTCCACAGGAAGGAAATGAAGGCCCTGAAAGGGGATATGGTTTGTGACTTGGTCACATGAGTGCTTGGCAGAGCTAGAAGCCAGGTCCCTGACTCCTAGGTGCTGGTTTCATCGCTGCAGCATGCCAATGTTACTCTTTACTCCTTCCCACAGCTACCTCCCATGTAAAGCATGCACAGTCAGGCCGCCTGGCTTTTAATCTCAACTCTGCTGCTTACTATCTATGTTAAGTAAGTCTTTTCTTTTCTTAGACCCCATTTTCTCCTCTGTTAAGATGGGGAGTTTGGATTAAGAGATGTCCCAAGTCCTAATTCAGTTGTATTGCTTTGGTATTTCTTCGAAGCAAATCCTGTGGATTTCAATTGTCCACTGGCAAAGTAACCCCACAGAGTGCCAGGGTCCACCAATAATCTGGACCCCAACACAAGGGCTGACTGGTCAGCCACCACACCAGTACCCAACACCACTCTGCCCCAACCCTGACACACCCTGGCTCCATGGGAGGTATTCTCCCTGGTTCTGAGCTCAAGCACCACTGTGAGATATCTTACAAAACTACACTGACCTTGTCAATGGACAAAAGCCGAAGGTGAATACCACACATGGATCACTGGAGTCTTATGCTGTAAAAAGGTCTGGCTCCCAGAGCAGCTAGGGCACTGAGCAATAATTATTATTAACAATAATTGTCCTTTAATTATATAACAATTTTATGATATTAATTAATTAATAATATAATTATATAACAATAATTATCCTGTCAGTGTCCCAGCCAGCATAAAACAAGGAGGAGACTCATAATCTGTTCCTTGTTTTATTGAGACACTACACAATTGAGAAACTACACAAAAACAAGTGGCAGGAAACTTAAACCTCTTGCATTCTGCTCTGAGAGTGCTTTAGTCTTAAGAGGAAAGGTGAAGTAAATTTTATCCACATCGGAAGGAGTGAAACTGTTCACTTCATACCAAAGGCCTCATCAAGAGGCCATTTCAGAAACCCTTCCTAAGGGTCCATAACTGCTAGGGAGAACAGACTTGGACAAGAAACCTGTCTCTACCCCCCTCATCTGTGACCTTGGCAAGTCACCTCTATTCTTTGTGCCTACTTCCTCAACTATAAAATGTGAGTAGTTAAATGAGATGTTCTCAAAGGGTTCTGTAGTTTGAAGATTCTAGCATTCTATGATCAGTGCCCTCTGGTCTTGCGCCTCTAAGCAAATGGGTCTTATGACGACTGGACCCACCAAAACCACGAAATGATATGCACTGAAGGATAAATGGCCCTCAGAGCTAGGAAACAATGCCAGGACCAGTTTAGCTCAAGTCACTAAAAATCAGGGCTCCCAGGAGTCCCTGACCCCTTCCAGCCATGATGGATTCTTCTACCACGTAGATCCGGGCTCTTCCAGGGACCACAGAAGGAGTGCTCCTGAAGAGCTACACCAGGACAGGGCTCTACAGCTGTTCTTAATCAGAATGCTCCGGAGGGCTGGCCTGGCTCCTCTCCGCCCTCTGCCGCCAACATCTGGGAATGGCCTGACAAACTTCTACAATTACCACTAGGGTTGGTGCAGTGGAAGAGCGGGAAATGAGGGAGGACAACAGGGCATCTAACAGAGGCTCTGCTGCTATTACTACATGACCTTAGGCAAGTTTTCTTCTATACTCCCTAATGAGAGAATGAGGGGATCAGGCTGGATCTCTTCTAAATGATCTTCCAGCTCTGACATCCTATGTTTCCTCTAAGAGTTGATGATTCCAAAGAAATTACACTTTTGGAAGGGACTGGGTAGTATACTGTTAAGGAGGTTCAAATGCTCCAGGCCCCGGGGGCTCTCTCTGCTTCCCCTAAAAGGTTCTATGAGGATCTCTTTAAAGACTGACACTGGAATTTATCAAACCGACGGACGTCTTAATTTCTAACAGGCTTTGGCTAGCTACCAGGCTTTTCCTAAATGGACGACAAGATTCTGTAAGGATTTAAAAGCAGCATCCTCCAATGATTCTTCCAAGAGGCCTCAACACACATGAGTTCCAAGGACATTTCTTATCTTATCCACATACTCTCATATCTCAGACTAGTCTCATAGCACACTGATTTTATTCCTATTTTTAAAGGGAAAAAGCTAAAGCACAACACTTGTGAACAACTTGAGTACTGTCATGCAATAAGCTAGTAGAAGAGCCAGGTCTTCTGACTTCCAATACAGATTTTTTGCTTCTTATGAAGCTAAGACAATGAGTTAAAACTTTTGCAGGTTCCCAAACTCCCAAGGAAGACACTATCATTAAGACATTAATAGGATTATTATTTTAAACTCAACATTCTGGGTTTTCCCAGGCAACAAAGTCAAGCTCACTGGCTTGCCTTCTCTGTAAAATTTTCTTCTCTAGAAAATGACAGGGGCAGAAAAACGGTGTCTTAGAGCTGGAAGGGGCCACCGATAGCCCCTTAGGTACCAGTACCTAAAACAGAATTCCCCTTGACAATTTTCAAAGGAAAGAAAACTCATCACCCACCATGGCAGCTCCTTTCACCTCGGTACAGCACTTGTGATTCCGAAGTTTTCTTCTGAGATCTAACTGAAATCTGGCTCTGTAACCTCTCCCAGCTCCCCAGGCTGTCCTCTGAGGACAAGCAGGAGAAGGCCTCTTTCAACTAAGAGCCCTTTTGTTCAAAGGTTCCAAGGTTGTGATCCTGCCCCCACTCCCAACCCTAGGCTTCTCTTCTCTAGGCTCAAGAGCTCGAGATCCCTCCCACCTCTGACATTTTGTGTTCTGAGCATCCTCTCATTTCTAAAATCCTAGATTTATGATCTTCTAGACAATCGTGGCTGGTAATGCCTGTAGGGTGGGAAGAACCCCAAATCCAGGAGACTCAGTCCTGGTTAGCACTTACCTTGGCAACCTGACACCCAACAGAACCAACAGCTCCTGAACAGCAACTATACTGGGTTTCCCATCCACCGGCCACTAAAACAGTCAAGAGGAAAGAGAAGAAGGACATGTGGTCAAGCAGGAAGGCCTTCTCAGGAAAGTCATTGCAAGGGGAGCAGGAGTTGGCATTTAGGGGCAGATATGACAAGGAAGAAGGGAGCGGGGGACAGCCCACACCTCAGAGATGCTGTGGAACTCTAGAGCCCTACTGCATGGCTGGCAGCTTTGGCAGAGAAGGCTAATCATGCCCACTGTGGTGTTGTAGGGAGATGTCCCTTTGGCTCACAGCAAGGAACTGTGGGTCAAGGGAACCTCACTAAATTGATGGGCTGCCAGAGTTTAGAGCCAATTAGAAGGACTGATTTAATTAAACCAGAGCCAATGGTGATGTCTTTGCAGATTAATGTTTTCATCTGTCGGGTGATCATGACTGCCGTTACACACTATGAATCAAGTTGAGCTTCAGAAGACAAGGAGCAGGGCTTGAAGACAGTTCCTCAGTCTATTGTTGCCACTCTTAAATCCAGAAGGAAAACAAGCCTATTCTGGGAGGATCATGGCATGGGGGAACCATTAGAGGAACCCTAGGAGCAGCCCAACTTCATCTTCTTAGTGAAGATACTGAAGCTCAGAAGGGAGAATGGATTTACGCAAAGTTACACTTCATACTAAGCGTCACACCTGGCAACGGAATCTGGCCCCATGACTTCTAGTTCAGTGGGATTTTTATTATATTTAAAAGGCTCAGTAGAGAATGCACGATGACAGATCAACAGTACTATTTCTGTCCACCCCTATCAAAAAGATGGGCACACTTGACTCTGCCTGGTACTTGTCACTGGCAAAAGTGGGTACTTTGGGGGCATCTTGCTTTGTTCTAAGCAACTCCTGGGGGTACCAGCACACAGACCTATCTTTGGCCTTTAAAAACAAATGGCTCCTTCAAACCATTTGTCTAAGGAGAGGCTCCAGTTTCAAGGCATTTACTCCCCTGACTCAGCAACATAACAGACCAGTTGCAGTTCTGTTCCTCAGGAAAGACCCTCTCTGGGCCTCAGTTTGCTCCTCCATAAAATGAGGGGGTTATACTAGATCAATGGTGTTAAATTAAAATAGAAACAGGGGCCCCTAAACTATACATAAAGATGCCTGTGGGTCATATATTCACTTGGTTTTAAAATGGAATGTTATCGATGCACTATATTTTTATTTATCTTGTTAAATATTTCCCGTTGACACTTTAATCTGGTTCAGGCCAAACTTGAGAGCACTGTAGCCCACGTGTCTGACACCACTGTTAAAGGTCTTTGCCATCCTAGAGCCTAGCCCAGTTGTTTCTCTGTGGTTTGGGGTGATGTGGCACCACCTTGTGGATGCGTTGTGGATCTGCAGCTCCATACCCAGGTCCCCTGTAAAAGGCAGTCCTGTCATAAGCTCCTTTGTGCAAAGAAACCTGATTTTCCTTGGGGGGTGGCAGAAATGTCCAGTTAAAAAGGAAGGAGAATCTCAAAACAGTGGTTATGCTTTCTACTCTTAGACCCACTCCCTTAACCAATCCACAATCAGGAACCAGGAACTAACCTCTCTGTCGACGCAGTCTCCCCCAGTGATGGCAGCACTCCTCCTTCCGGATACAATTGCCGGTGGGCGAGACTAGGTACTCAGTGCCACAGCGACAGCAAATTCGGCAGGACGCTGCAAAGAAAGAGAGATGAGACAGGTGAAGAAGAAAGAGGGCCCTGGGGCAGGTCCTGATACCAACTGCACCACTTCCCCACCATGGCATAAGGAAGAGAGTCCCAATTTGGCTAAGGGAATTTCTAGGGACAGGGGACACTAAAGACACAAAGAAAAAAGAAATGAAGTTACAGAAGACCAAAAGGGATATGTTTTGAATAGGATAAAGCTACTACAGAGACTTATTTAATGAGGAGTACAAATAAGGACTAGAGATGTTAAAAGCTAAAAGGGAAAAGGACAAGAAATAGTCAAAGAAAGGTATACTCATGTCACACTCCCTCTGTACCAATCTGACATTGAGAAGGGCATGATGTGGTGGGATGTTGGGGGTGACCAGATTTTCAACATGTGCCCCAAGACCTAGAATATTCCCAAGGAATGAGTGTGTAGTGGTTACACTCTAAAGCAATACCACTGTACTCCCAAAGTTGGCTCGGGATATCTAAGAAAACTGATCTCCCTCCACAACTCCTCCCCCACCTGTTGCTTCTCTCCTAGACTGAGAGTTTATCTTGTCTGAACAATTCCCCCCCAACCCAATAGAGTGAAAGTGGCACCAGGCTGGACCTACTTGTTCCATGCCAGGGTGCAAATCCCAGGCACTAGTGCGACCCTGAGGGCACTAGGGACCCTTTCCTACAGTGAGCTTGTAATGGAGTAAGAGAGCTGTCACCTATGAGTACTGCATTTATCAAGCTTTTAGGATCCCTAAACTCACCACTCAATTGCCCAAATGAGGTCCCTTTACACAGATCACACAGGGGGCTGTAAGCCTCAGAAGAGTTAAACAGCCATAATAATTAGGAGGAGACCTATGGCCTTGAAAGAAACAAGGCCACTGAGTAGGGAAGACTTTAAAGGCAAATTTAAACGGGGTCCTATAAGAAGTATCACACTTCTACTGCCTGGTACCATTAACTCATGGTGTCAGCAAAGGGATGGGAGATCACTTTTTGAAAACTACCACTTTCTAGGCTCTATAAATCTAGTCTAAAACCCTGATTCAGAAACATGAACCAAAGTCTTCAGTACTCAGAGAAGATTTCATGGGGGAGGTAAGAAAAAGGCTTCCACAGGCAGAGAACAACAGGTAAGGCATTTCAGCAGGGAATAGGAGGAGCAAAAAAGCCCAGAGGCAGGAGGAAACATGGTGGTATTGGGGAGCAGAGACAAAAAGTCGGCTGACTAGAGAGTGGGACAACCCAGCAGAGGAATATTCCTTAGTATTCCTTAGTAGAAATGGTTGCTACTAAGACATGATGAAAGCTAGGTTTGAGAAATAAGTGATGATCCTAATTCACGTTTACTGGGCCCTTTAAGGAGTTACAAAGTGCTTTCTTCATAATAACCCTATGAAGTAGAGTGCAAGTATTATTAGTCTCATTTTGCAACTGAAGTAACTGAGGCTCAAAGACACAAAACAACCTGCCCAAGGATAGATACCTGACTACTAAGTACTGACACTACTAGTAAGTATGAAGCCCAGTCTTTAAGCTCAGGTCTCCAAGTCCAGGCTCCTTTTGCTACACCTCCCCGGAAGATTAATCTGGTAGTTTCTGCAAGATCTGGAGATTGAAAGGAACTGGGTGGGTGGAAGGAGAGGAAGCAGGAGAGACAAGAAGAGCTGGCTGGTGCTTCCAGGTTTGCTTGAGGCAATTAGGTCCACAGGCAGAAAGGATGTGGCAGGGGACATGGAAAGACACTAAACAAAATGAATAAACTCAAGAGATGCCTCCCACTCCCACCTATAGCCAAATACCAGAGATTTCACTCATCCTTGCAACTAATGGAACACCATTTCCACATTCCATGCTGCATGTTAATACGAAGAAGGGAGATGGCACTCTCTGGCAACATCCATATTTTTCATAGAGCAAGTGATTTCAATGTAATCAAACAGTGTATCAAACTCTTCCCAGCACATTCTGGTTCACTTAGGAAGTTACTGATGTATTGGAAGCAATCTACCTTCCCCAAACATGTGAGAAAAGCAACAGGGCTTCAGGTAGAGTTTTGGACTCCAAAGGGCTCAGGGGCAATGGTGCAGCTAGGGAAATAGGGCTGACAAACAGAAGTGGCAGCTTGATTAGTTGGGACAGAAAAGGTTTAAGTCTTAGTGGAAAAACTGCCTTTTCTTACCCTCACCCCTTGTGCCTCTACCCTGGGTTGCTCTAGCAGCCACCAAGCAATCCACTGAAGATTGAGCACTAAAGAAAACTTGCATTTGCATGGCCAAGCCTATCAAGAGAAAACAGCCTCACTCAAGATGTCACCTACTAGGCCAAAGTGAAGTATTCATAAAATAACAACAATGGGTTGTCTAGTCAATCAGGATGACCAACCTGAGTGTTTATACGGTGGTGGCCCTGTAGCCATGGACTCCACCAGCATGGGAAGACACCCAGCGACTCTTCCTATCTCCCTTCTCCCAACATCTCAGGTCTTCTTAAATTTTGGCATAAGGATTAATGTATTCAAGGCCCACTCCATCGACTAGGTCCCCTCTTATTCAGCTTTTCCTCCCACTACTTTCCATGATGGCCCAAATGGCTCCAGGGGAACTTGTCTCTTTGTCATCTGCTCCTTTCCACCTTTTCATCCACTGCTTTGCCTGTCCTTCTCCCCTTTGCCAAGCCAAACTCAAAATTCCTTTCAAAGTTCAATTTAAGACTCAGGCCAGAAAGCCTCCCCTAAAGTACACAGCACCCAGGTATCCTCTCTGCCCCCAAGTGTCTGAAGCAGCTCAGTGAGCAGCACATTATCTAAACCTTTTTAAGCCAGGGGCAGGGAATATGTCATTGAGACTACAGTACCAAACTGTTTGATTCCTTTGGAGAAGAGTCAAAAGGGAGTACTGGAATAAAGCTACCTCACGGGGTTGCACTGCCAAGTGGGAGAATCAGAGAGCTAGCTATTCTACATGTAAAGTCAATGAGGCAACAGCTGCCTGCTGTTTATTGATCTATCTGGCTTCACTGCACCACTACTGCTGGACATCTGGCATTCTGGGTGCAATATACTCTTGCACAAAATGCTCAGGTTAGCACTGAAAGTGGATTCTGCCTTCTCCTCCAAGCCTCATCTCTCTGCGACCTTGTGCATAATGTGCAGCTAGGATGGGATAGTCGGTATCTCTTTTCAATAAAGAGCACCAAGAAGAGGGGGAATTTAAATCTGGCCTCCCACTGGGAATGTGGATTAGCCAAAGTTATATGGGGTGGATTAATCATTACTAATGTGATTGGAAAGAACAAAAAGCCTCGCCTTATTATAAGCTGTGAGGCAGCAGAGGATGCAGAATTCTGCTGAATTCCATTATATACCCACAATGCACCTGGAGACAGATCTATAGGCTCAGAGGCCCAGATCTCAGCTGAACACTGGATGAAACCAATAAGACAGGGACTAAAGGTGACAGGTCAGGCAGAGTAGTGTAGTCAAGAGAGCACTGGGGCCTGGGAGTCAGGGGACTTGGGTTCAAGTCTCAGATCTGACCCTTACTAACTTGATCTTGGTCAAATTAAGAACCTATGGGGAGAATGGTATTTGTGTTACACCCACCTCACAGGGTTGTGGAGGAAAGCATTTGATCTACCTCAGAGCACTAGAGAAGGGAACAACTCACAGTCTGTGGTTTTCTTCTCTTCAGTGGTGAAGACCACCGCTCGGCCAGGTTTTTCAGGGTGGGGTAGAGGGTAGCCGTTCTCTTTCAGTTGGTCCTCTGTTAAAATGTACTCCTTCAATCTTCGGTACAAGGCAGCTCCTAGAAACAATGAAGGTCACGATGACACTCACTGCTTGAAACTGTCCCTGACCTAAGTTTTTTCCTAGAGTAGTGCTTTTCAAAGTGTGGTCAGGGGTCGCTGAGCTCCTTTCAGAGAGTCTACCAAGACCTTTTAATTTCTAATATGGTTAGAATCACAAACAAAAGCTTAAGAACTGCTGTACTAGAGAATAAGCTTAGAGTTGTCTCTCCTGTAATGGGGATGGGTTACACACTAAGCCATCTTTGATTTTTCACCTGCTCTCTCCCCACCAGCTCATGACCAATGAAAGCATCTCTCCAAATGGGCACCCAGGGAGAGGGATGTACTCTGTGACCCAGGTCAGTGAAAAGGCCACCTGAATCAAATGGGCATACAAAAACTATGATGTGGGCTCACAAGCACCAGCCAGAGACGAGTCTTGAAAAGAAAGGGATGAGAAAAAGAAAGGGATGAGACAATGTCTCATTAGAGAGACAATGCCTGAGCGACCTATTTTCAGTCTCTCTTGGAAGCAGAGCAGGTGGGAGAGAAGGCCTAGGGTGGCATGACAACAGGATCATAGAAGGGAGCCTGGGGGCGGGATAGGGTGACAGGCTGGGGCAAGTAGGATGGCCTCCAAACCCCTCTCTGATTTGCACACCAAAGTAAGAATCTGTCTTCCCTAGGTTCCTACCAGGAAGTCTCTTTGTTAAACCTGGCCCATTACAAATGAAGAGAGGTAACAAAGGATGTAGCAGGGGGAAAAAAAAACCCAATGATTAGAAATCAAGAGAAAAAGGTTTTAGCTGCATCTTTGCCACTGACTTACTGCAAGACCTTCCCCCTCTAGACCTTAGTTTCCTCACATGTAAAATAAGGTAGCTGGACTAGATGATCCCTAAGTCCCTTCCACCACTGATATTCTCACATGTGGTAAAATTTACAAGTGATAAGCTGAGAGTGCCACTCATTCTAACCCTCCTACCCTTTCCTTTCTGCCACATGCAAGCCTAGACATTTTAAAGGCACAAACGCAGAAACAAGGTGCTCACCTGTCAAATCTTCTGCTCGGAGGCTACCCGATCGATTCAGTGTAAAGCTTGTCTTTGTGGCCAGTTTCCCCCCCAGAACGGCTTCATGAGACACCACCTTCCGATTGCTGTTCTCTGCAGGGGGGCAGGAGGAACAACCTGATCTAGTACTCTCACCACTGGGGGAGTCACACCCAGCGGGTAGAACTGAACCCAAATGGGAAGGAAGGACCGAGAAAAGAAAATGGTGAGCTTTGACACATCTGGGTCCCCATCACTCCTGGAACATCCTCCTTTTCCCATCCTATTCCCTCCCCCTCTCCACATGGTCCCTGTAGTTTGAGGTCCCGCTCACCCCACCTCCCCCAGGAAGCCCCCCTGGAGGTCTCCCCGCTCTGGCCTGATACAGGACTTAAAGTTCCCTATCATGCATTCTGCACTTAACAGAACAATCAAGGTAGCATATTTTATCTTTTATTCACCTTATCTCCCCAACTGCATCATAAGTTCCTTGATGCCAGGGAGGTTGTCAAATTTATCTCTATCACAATATCTAAAACAACATGGGCCTACTGTCTCTGTGAAGGTTTCCAATGACTCCAATTCACAGTAATCTCCCCTTCTCTGATTCCCTACAGTAGTCTATGTGCTGTTGAGCATTTAATTATATGATCTGTTTTTTCTGCGTGTGTGTGTGTGTGTGTGTGTATAGCTTGTTTAGCCTAACTAGATTGAATTCTCATATTTTTGTGATTCCTTCCATCCACCCACCCATCCACTCTAGTGCCTAGCACATGGTAATAGCTTCAAACTCTTGCTTAATTAAGGGGGCGGGGAGACAACACCAGATAATCACTGATGATTGTCTCCCCACTTGGATCCAAATGCAGCCCTTTACTTCCTTTCTTTCTCTTCCCTCCCTAACTCTCTTCCCCTGCCCCCGACTTCTTCACTTCTTCCCCTAGAAGAGCTCGTGTAATGGGCTGTTGCTGACCTCTGCTCTAGAGTCAACCCCTTGCCATTCATTCTCACCTGTGTGGACTGTGGAAGATTTGGACTGGATAAGAGAAGACTAGGGTCTTAGACACAGTTACACCCCAACCCACCATGGTGCCTTCTTTAGATCTCAGTTTTTTCTATTCAAAATATGATCTTTTGACCCACTGTTCCCCTCCTTCTAAGCCAGCTCTACTGATTTCTGGTGCCCTCACCTGGGAGTCCAAAAAGGGAATATTAATTAAGGAGGGCTGATAGGAAAACTGAGTTCCCTGCACAAACAAACACAAAAAACCCCACAAGGAGACAGAGATGCAAAGGTGTGTTTGTGCCTCAGGTGACAGTCAGGCCAAGCCCTTCTGGGGCTCTGTGTGGCAGTCCTAAGCTCCATTAGCCAGAGTTTCCAGATGGTGCCTCTTCAGAGCCCACTTCATTCTCTTCACCCCTGAAAGATCCCTGCAGGTCAGGTTTTCACACTGAAGGGGAGGACTAGAAAGTAAGGACCACGAAGGCCCTCACTGGGGAATAGATTTAACACATTATCTAATGGTTTACAGGTACTTTGTAGCAATCATTAACCGGCAACCATTCTAAAACTAACCTTCCCCAGTTCTCTCCGAGTAATGGTTGTGAAGATAATGGAGATGGAGGGGGTGAGGAAGATGAGACCAAGAAAATTAGGAGAACAGCACAAATTGACTGCTTAATGTACCCTCTCAAGAGCCAATAATGAAATGTCTTAACCCTCTTCTCTTTTTTCTTCTCAAAAGCTTAATGTGTGAAACAGAAATATGCCTTAAAGGCCAGTCTAGCGCTTTGAAGACATTCAAAAGTTACTCCATTAGTGGCCCTTTACCTTTTAAAAACAGGAGCTTTGAAAAGGAATAAGAGGTAATGAAGGAAAAAGCATCATGCTTTGGGGAATGGAGTCTATTTCCATTTCAGATAGGGTGAGGGCCACTATGGTCTTTCCCTCTCCATATCCACTCCTTAAAATGGCTAATACAATGTTGTCAAAGATGAAACTACTTAGTTTATATTTCTATCATGCCTCTCCCCTCCCTTCCCTGAAGATAATATGACAGTAGTAAACAAAGGATTGATGTTTAGTTGAAAGGCCCTAATTACTGGAGGAGAGAGAAAGGAGGCACACTTTTTTTTGGCACAAATGTTATTTGGACTTGTTGCTTCCACATGCAGGTTTCAGATATTCTCATCTCTCATTAGATAGGTAGCCACAGAATAATAAAATGAATAGTGAAAGGTAATTCAGCAGGCCTGAGTTGGGCAACCTTGGCACTGATCCTTCCCCTCTCTGGGCTTTAGTCTCCCTAACCATAAAATAAGCAGGATGGATTAAATTGTGTGTTTGCAAGTGCCCTCTCATCCCTGACATTCTGTGTGCTAAGGGTCTTCCCAGATCTGACATCTTCTGTTCTAAAGGCCCTCCCAACTCTGACATTCTGTGTCCTAAGGGTCCTCTCATCCCTGGACCTTCTGGCTCTGACATTCCATGTGATAAGATCCTTCTCAGCTCTGAATGTATTCCAAAGGACCTCCCATCTGTAACATTATGAATCTATGTAACTGGATGTTCCAAGAACATCACAAACCTCATTATCCTGGTGACAGACATCGACACATCTGGCCCCAGGCGGCCCATTTGTCTTCTTCCTCCACCATCACCCTCACTCTCAACATTTATTATCTGTACTCTATAATTAGCCTGTAATATACTAATTTGTTCTATGACTGAGAGGCAGCTGTCATACGATGGAAAAGCACTGGATTTGCAGTCAGAAGAGTTCAGATACCAACTCTAACACTTACTGGATGAGTTACTAGGGCTTAAGTAATATCTTCTCTCTGATTTGAGAATAACACATGCACTACCTCCTTTACAAGGCTGTTGCACTAAATGAGATAATGAATGTAAAGTGATTCATAAATAGTAAAACAAATGGTGAGGTAATGAGAAATGTCAGCTGTTATCATCCTCCTCATCACTATTGCTGTTACCCTACCACTTAGTAATTTATCAAATACAGTCTCTTGTTCTCTAGTTTTTCACATCATCTTTCTTAGGGATGACAACAAAAGAAGTTTCATTGCACCTAGTGCTGAATATTAGGATTACAAGGTCCTATGTAGCTGAGCTAGGATTTAAACCCAGGCCCTCTGCTTCCAAATGTGGCTCTCCTTCCACCACCCCACCCTGCCTCAATAAAGCATAGACAGGACCAGATTTAAGACTACCTCAAAAGAACAAGCTGCCTCAACTGATGTAGTGCATTTTTTTATTCTAAAGGCAAAGGTAAAAAGGTATAGTAGAATGGAAACTTTTTATTTCAAAGTACAATGATAATTGACAGCCACAGACCTTTTAGTGCTAAGCCCTAGAGTGACACAGAGCAGTGCAGTCGCAGCATCTCCTCTAAGACTCTGACCTCTCTCCCACCCACTCAGCCCACCCAGTGCTAACATCTGATCTGTTTAGCTTCCTGTTGGCATAACAGGGGTCCCAGTGAGGTTAGTTTCTACATAACTGAAGTCTGCTCCCTCTAAATGCTACAAGTGTTATGATAACTCTTAAAATCATTTTGGATAGAAATCCTTCTGAAACAGATTATCCATTTCCTTATTTTTTATAATAATGTGGAGAAATAATCTTTTCTTGAGGATTCTAGGTGATCATCCTATGAACATCTAACAGCTGTACTTCTTGGACTATGGTTACGGTGAAGCCGGGGGAGGGGGGGTTATCTGCCACAGCACTGAAAAAGCATTGAATTTGGATTCTAAACCCTGGCTTTGATACTTACTACCTGTATGCCATGGAAAAAGCCAAGCTACTGTATCCTCCTCTAGAAAAAGAAGAGGGTAAACTGGCTAGTCGCCAAGGTCCCTTCTAAGTTCCAGGATCCTGAGCCTGAGGATGCTAGACTCCCCAGGGAAAGGCTTAACTGTTTTTGCTAGTCTTTTTTTTTTTTTTTTTTTAATTTTTTTTTCCTGTCATTCAGTCATTTCTTGCTGCTTTCTCTAGCAATGCTTTTCCATGACCTTCCCTCTCTGCTGTTGGCCTGAACAACAGAGATCTTTGTTAGAACTGTGTTCAAAGTTGTGGCATATGAATGTAATGGAATATTATTGTGCTATAAGAAATGATGAACAGGCAGACATCAGAAAAACCTGTAAAGACTTGTATGGTCTGATGCTGAGTGAAGTGAGCAGAACCAGGAGAATGTTGGATACATTGTGCTATATTGATAGACTTAACCCTTCTCAGCAATACAAGGATCTAAGACATCTCCAAAGGTCTCAAGATGGAAAACGCTACCCACATCCAAAGAAAGAACTATGGAGTTTGAATGCAGATCGAAGCATATTATTTGCTATTTTTTTTTCTTCTGTTGTGTTTTGTTTCCTCCTATTGGTTCTAATTCTTACTTACAACATCACTAATGTGAAAATATGTTTAATAGGAATGTATAGCCTATATCAGATAGCGGAGGGAGATGGTGAGGGAGGGGGAGAAAAATTTAAAACTCAAAAGCTTAAAAAAAAAAAAAAAAGAACTTTGTTCAAAGAAAGCGACAATGGCCCCTGAGAGAGGACCTAAGGGGCACTCCTGGGAAAAGTGTAAGCCTCGGGGCATGGAAGGCTGCACAAAGACCTACCATGCTTTCTTTCAGAGTTTTCAAATGGCTCCCAGATAATTAATGTTGTTAGAACTACGGCCATTCTAGGCAAGAGCATCGACTTCAAAATCAGAGAAGGAGAGAATTTGCTACTCTAGCCATACTCACTGTTTACACATTGTACAGAACCAGGTCCTAAACTCCTTAGCTTCTTTAGGGTATTGACAGCCACATTCAGGTAGATATTCTTGCTTGAACTCCGTTCATAGGCCACCTTCTCCTCAGATAAAGCCTGGGGGAAAAAAACATGTGTTGCTGAGATTTCATATCAACTTTCACAGGCTTAGGTAGAAGGCAGGGTTGGAGCCAAGACAAAGAACACAAGGCAATTAGATTGAATAGATTTGACATCAAGGACTAAATTAGGACTGGTATTCTCACATCAGAATGTTATCTGAGGGACAAGAGATTCCTCATTTTCTAGAGCGGTCAAAGCAGAAATGTATATTTGAGCGCTTGGGCTAACGCAGACCACCATTATTCTCCTGTGGCATGACTCTCAGTTCTACAGACCTGTGGGTTTCCTAGGATGGGGGTCCTACAGGATGAAGAAGCAGCAGAAACCCTGAGATTCCCTAAAATCCTATTTAGAGGGAGCCAAGAGAGCTCAGGCTAAGGGGAGGAGATGAAGACATGAAGCACTGAGATCACTGGGGGTAGGGAGGGAAAGAGGAGGTGGTGCCAACAGCAACTATTTATGTGACCTCAGCTCACTCTCAACAGACATGTTTTCTATGCTGTAGAAAGAGGGGCAGCACTAGATCAGAAATCTTCCAAGAGCTGCTACAACTGCAGCAGGTAGCCCTTTTAAGTACATAATCAGGAGCCCAAACTTGTCCTATGCCCTTGGATAATTCTCTTAACCTGAGTTCAGATTCCTCAGATGTAACTTGATACGGTTAACAATAATAAAAATATTCACAATTATAATAACTGAAATCTACAGAGCATCTTAAGGTTTACCAAGCTCTTTCCTTACATTATATCATTTGGTTTTTAACAACCACCCTAGGAGGAAGGTATAGCTATTATCTCTATTTTACAGAGGAGGTAGACCTACCCCAGGTCACATGACAAAGACAAGATCTGAACCAAGGTCCTCCTGACTCCAGTTTGATCTCTCTCCCCAGCACCACACTGCCTCAAAGAAACATAGATGTGTACAGACTCATTTCATTAATGTTCTTCTGCAGGGTCAGACACTGAACCAACAGCCCAATTTTGCCTCTCCACAAACTGACCTAGTCCTTCCTCCCCACTCATCTCTTACTGATTCAGGACTAATCAGATCGTAGGATATTAGAACTGGAAGGAACTGCAGGGGTCATCTAGCGAAACCCCTCACTTAGAGGGAGTTCATGAGGCTCAGTGGGGAGTCATCAGTCCAGAATCCAACTGCCAACAGAGCTAAGGCCAGAGGACTCACACTCAAGCCTTCTCAGCTGAGCACAGGGTTCTTGATACTCCCCTCCTAGAGATCATCATGATGAACTCTAAGGGTCCTTCAAGCTCTACAGATCTTCTTCTATTTGACTAACTCAAAGTACAGGACAAATAGTGTGGGCTCCTGCCTCTACCACCTCCCTTCTGGGAAGCCTGCCCAATCACTGAGAGACGAAAATGAATAAAAGATGAGGTGCAAGGTAGGAGAAACCAGCTTGAAGATCTACCAACCAAAGGTTCAAGATCAACAGATGGCTCCTAATCCCTTCTGAGAAGAACAGAGAGGGGGATGGGGGAGGGTCCAACCCTTAGGCAAGACACACTGGTTGTACAAGGTCAGACCATGGCAAACTAACTCTCTCCCCACTGTCAGCCCCCCAACTTCATAGTATAGCAAAATAATTAATATCATGGATACAGACCTTGTCATAAGCTTCTTGGGGTGATGGACAAAACTTCAGGCACTCATCAATAAAAAGATTAAGATAACGTTGGCGGATGTTGGTAGGAACCTTGGCCCCAAATTCAGTTGGAATGACTGGTCTATTTAAGCTTACACTCTAGAAAGACAAAAGAAAGATCAGTAAGTATTCTACAGGAAGCCTTCCCCAGCCCTTAATTCCGATGCCTTCCCTCAGTCATTTCCTATCTATTCATCCAGCTTGTTTGTACATATGTTGTCTCTCCCGTTCGACTGTGAGCTCCTGGAGGTCAAGGGACTGTCTTTTTCCTTTCTCTGTATCCCTAGCACTAAGCACAGTGCCTGGTACACAGGAGGCACTTAATAAAAAATGCTTATTGACTATCAGCAGCAGAATTTTCTAATTCAACAAATGACATCTTTAAGATTCCCTGTCAACAGTTTCATAACTTCCTTTTTAAGACCTGCTTGAACTCTGACACCATGATGTGACTCATTTCCAGTTCCAAAACCTCTGTTGTCCACTGTTCTGATTCTGTGAGCACAGGACGTCTCTCTAGTGACACACAATACAGCCTCCCTGAACACCTCAGGAAGCTGTTTTGAGTTGCTGTGGTTTTTTTCAAAACTCATGTTCTCCTAGGGAGGAGTCTTGCTGAGGTAGGCCCTGGTTGGCTCACATCCCACAGAGACAGAGAGATCAAGAGATCAGTGCTGGGCCTGTGCTCAAAACCTTCCCAACTTCACAGGAAGCTGCCCAGAGTTTGCCTCTACTAGCTCGGCCTCCAGGAGTCCATGCTTGCTTCCTCTCAGCCCTAGGCAGGCTGAGGAACATGAGATGAGGGGAAGGTTCTCAGACTGTTACTGTGTTACCATAGCTGTAGGGGTGTGTTAGGGAGTTTGAAGAGGCTGGGCTTATTTTTTGTTAAATAGATTGGGGCAGAGAGCAACTAATGGACCATTACCATTTTCTGAGCTGAAACTTATTTTTTAACCAGTTAGTACCATTATCGTTAGGGAAATGGGAGAGTAGACTATCTCTATCATCCATGGATTACTGACTCTGGTTGCTAATTTGTCTTAGGATTTTAAAGAGTTAGTTTACTTTCATTTATTAATTCAAGAACTGTGTGTAAAGAAGGGTCCCCAGAATGCAGCCTAAGCTCTCCTGCTTCCATGCCTTTGCCCACACCATGCCCTAGGCCTGAAAGGTGTCCCACCAGCTCTCTTCCTCCACTACTGAATTATAATCTATCATTTGAAGCTCAACTCAAATGCCACTTCCTGCCCTCTCAGTTGCAACCTGTGCCCCTCAAACTCATATCACTTTTGTTCTCAAAATCCCTGAAAGGGAGGTGCTACTGCTATCTCCACTTATGATAGCATTGTCGGATATTGGTGGGAATGTTGGCCCCAAACTCAGTTGGAATAACTGATCTATTTGTTTACTCTCCAGAAATACAAAAGAAAGATTCATGTGAGTTCTACCCAAAGCCTTCTCCATCCCCTCTAACTCCAGTGCCTTCTTTCAGCTAACCACTTCCTATTTATCCAGCCTGTAGCTTGTTGGTACAGCTAGAATGTTTTCTCCCTCATTAGACTGAGCATACCTCGAGGGCAGGGACTGTTTTTTCCTTTCTCTGTATCCCTAGCCCTTAGAACAGAGCCTGGCACATAGTAAGAGCTTAATAAATGCTTACTGACTATTAACAGCAAAATTTTTCAATTCAACAAATTTCAATTCAACATCTTTAAGATTTCCTATCATATCAACAGTTTCATGACTTTCTAATCTATCCTTTAAAGCTCAACTCAAATGCCTCTTTCTGCCCTGTCAGGTAAAAATGTTCCCCCTCAAAACTTAAAGCATTTAGTTTAAGGCCTCTATGTGCATAGTGAAATGTGTATCATTCCTCTGTTTGTATCTTTACTTCCTACTAGACTGTGAGCTCCCTGAGGTCAGGGATAATATCATCTGAATTGCTTCTTTTCCCCTGAAATAGGGAGAAGGAAGAAGGGATTTGGGATAAAGGGAAGAAAAAATAGACAAGGGGAGAAAGAAGGGAAAAATGGAAAAAAGGAGAAAGGAAAGGAGAAAGAAGTAAAGGAAGAAAAGAGAAGGGGAAAGAGTGGATAAGGAAAAAAAAGGGAGATGAGGAGGGGGAGAAGGAAGACCGGTAGCAAAAAGGCAGAAGGAGGGAAAGCTTAGTAGGGAGGCTAAAACACGGGCACAAATAACCACATCACAAGGCAAAATATGAAGAAGCCACATGAGAATGCGTGACAAAGGATCCAGGAGGGGGCTGTTGCTAGTCCCTAAGAAAGTCAGATATGGTTAGAGGTGGAGCAGAGGATTTGCTCCTAAAAAGGGAGAATTCGTAAGCAGGTCTCAAAGTACTCTGCTAGGCAAGGGTTCAGACAGGGTCAACCAAAGCGTGTGAGAGCTACTTTGGGAGCCCCTGTGAAAGTCCCACTCCTATCCAGCATCCACAGCCCCAAGGGTCAGCGGAAAGTAGACTAGATGTGAAGAAGGGAAGCTGACCACACTAGGATAGACAAAGAGTCTGTCTTTTGTTTCTCCCAGAAGATATTCTCACCTTTTCTAGGCCTTTCTGAATTGCCAAACAAACATGCTAAGTTACAACTTCCAAGTCTTCCTAGTCTCTTCCAAAACAATCTGCTGACTTCTCTCCTAATGCTTTAGTCTTCAAGAACTCCTGGACTGAAAGTAAAGACCAAGTGAGGGCCCATCAGCAGTTCAAAATCTTTGAGTACCTGTTCCTCACAAGCCAGGACAAGATTACAAGGCCAGGGAGATAAAAACAGTACTTTGTTGTTTTGGTGGAAATGGCAAATGCAAGACTGGAGGACAGGTTAGAAAAGCTCTTATTTTTAAAAACTGTGTTTTGATGAAACTTTCAGCACATCCCAAAGCTCCTCCCCAATGGGAATCTATTTGTTCCCAACCTGTTGGTTCAACGCAGTCCTGGAAATGTGAAGTCTATCAGCTGGACTTGGGGGGAGGTGCTTCACCTCCACCCTAGATTCCCAAGTCCCTCCAAGCCTCAGATGAAATACCACTTCCTGCAAAGAAACCTCTCCACCCCCACCCACCTGTAATGCTTATTGTGTATCTATTATGTTTTTACTTTTATCATTTCCCCTTAGCCTCTTGAAGGTAAAACTATGTTTTGGTTTTGTATTTCTATTCTCAGTGCCTTGCACCCAACCCAGGCACTTAATAAATGTTTATCGGATTGAATGTGGGAAAATGTGCATTACCTGTAGGGAGGGCACATGTGCTATCCTCTTCTGCACGGATGTCGTGCTCGTTTTAGAAGCCATTCCAGACATTGTTCGGGACTTCAAGGAGATGTTTGGCTCAGAGCCATTTGCGACTTGAACGGTGTTCAAAGAATTACTTTTCTTGGCACCTGTGGGGGCTGACAGGGTACAGGGCACATGATTGTAGGAAGACAAAATTCCCATCACCGAGCTCCGCAGAACCAAGTAATTCCGGTCATTTAATGTTACCAAAATGTGCATCTGGGTGCACAGAGGGAAAGGTCTGGATTTTGAACTAGGATTTTGGAATGACGACATTAAGATCTGTTCTGTGACAAGGCCATGGAGAGAAAAAGTCAATACTCAGTGGTCAGATCAGGCAATGTCACCAATTTGTAGGTCCAATGAAAGGTATAGGTTTCTGATAGCCTCTGCCACATGGTCAAGTCCCTCAGTTTGAAGTATTTAGATCTGAGTTAGAAAAGGCCTTGATTCCTTAGCAAAGGACCCAGGGGTTATGCCACTGCTCTCCTGGTCATTGTGACAAGACTACTTGCTCCCAGCTCTATGTTCTTCCACTCCCTTTGATGAGGTCACAAATAAAATAGTCCCTTGCAGCCTAGATAAGGGACTACTTTGTGCAGGTTTGTTTTCAAAGGTGGGAAAATATACCAAATGGCTAGCAATCTCTATCTCACCAGAACAACAAACATTTATGGTTATTGTAACAGAAAAATAATGATCATACCATGTGGTCAGCTTGAAAGTACAAGATATGTGCTAAGAGGAAAATCAGCCTGACCAGGAATCAGGGTGATTTGGGGGGCAGGGGTGGGGAGCCTGGGAAGGTGAAGCCTCCCTTCAAGGCCTCTCCATCCCTCTACCACCAGAATTCTTTTCTGTTGAATCTAACATGACCCCTCTTGCCACACCCCTTTCATTCTATTACTTTCCATTCCTACTCGTGGTGCAGTCAGCCTCCCACACAAAGCCTAACCCACACAATCTAGTGCTCCAGCCCCAACTACAATCTGAACTCCATGTTCCACCATTTCCCTACACAGACCTCCTCCCTGGACAAAACAGTGGGCTTCACTGTCTCCAGAACCAAGCATTCCCACCTCTGTCTCTTTGCTATTTCCTGGAATACTCTCTCACTATTTCCCATCTAACTTTCCATTCTTCAAGGTCCAACTTACTCCATCTCACTAGCTAGACTCCTCTCTTCCTTCTTTCAAGGTCTACAGTACTCACTGTTTCACTCATTTAGCATCTAAGAATGTAAGGCAGGAGATGCTCTCTTCATTTTTTTTTTGTCTCCCCCAAATGAATTGTAAACTCCTAGAAGGTAAGGATTTTGTCATGTCTGTCTCTGTAGCTCCTCTCTACCCCACCATACCTAGCCACACAGTATCTGAAACATTACCAGGAAGCTGACAAGAAGCTCCATTAAAAAGAGCTTTTCCAATCTATCACATTGAACTGAGGTAGAAGGGATCTTTGAGACTTTCTAGCACAACTTTCTAGAAACTGAGGCTCAAGAAACAAAGAGGAAACTACTTGCTCAAAGTTAAAAAGGTAGTAAAAGAGGCAGATTACAAACATGGCCCAACCAGTACCATGGTAAAGGGGAGACAGCAGAGCAGGGATGTCTAAAAGAGCCCTGAACTCAAGAGCCCAGTAGGCTTGGGTTGTAATTCTGCCTCTGCACACACTAGTTGTGTTACTTTGGGGAAGTCTTTCTCTCTCTGGACTTTAGTTTATCCACCAATAAAATAAGGGTGCTAGAAGATATCGCAAAGTCCTACAAAAATCCAGGCTTTAGCCTAAAGAAAAACACATGGCACGCTCAACAAGGTCCAGCACTCTAGAGAAGTAAAGAACACATGGCACAGACTCTTTGAGGGGGAGAAAAACATTCCCACAGCAGAAGATAAAAATGGGTGACAGACTGGAAAGTCCTCACTAACAGGTTGCTGACAAAGTTTCCTGAATGCCTTCTAGGCCCTTAAACCCCATTTCTCCCCATCTCTGTCAGGAAGGTAGTTTTCTCTCTTTCTTATACACTGCTCAGGGGGCCCTTTTCCCCATCAGAACAACCTGCAGGTCACTGAAAACTGGTCTCCTATGTACACCAAAGCTGAAGGCAAGTGTGAAGGCAAGTGAAGGCAAGGAAGGTTAAAAGAAAGAGCAAGGGCAGGCAATAGACCAGGAAGCACTGGGCCATACACAAAGCAAGTGTGCAGTACCTATGAGTGGACTGAATAAAGTGTCCTCAATGTCACAACAGTGAATGACTCAAGTCTGTATAAGAAATGTGACAAATGTCTATAGAAAATGCACTGGGTTTTGTTCATCTAAAAAAGAAAAGACCTCTTGGAAGCTAAGGGCTTTTGGTCTCATATCAGGCTAATTAACAGTGCCTTAAGAACAGAGAAGAGCACAGCTGCTTTTAAAGGGCCTGTTTAATTCTATTTTACCAAAAATCCAGGCACTTATATACTGAATGACCTCATATTTCCTTCCTTTAATGTTCAATTTTCTGCTCCCTCAAGCACAAATGCTCTCTGCCTGCTTTCTAACCACCTCACCACTAGTGCCTCCAACACAGGAGGAGAGAGATGTTAACTCTAGTTGGAAGGGACTTGAGATTTCTTAGATAAGCCTTCCATGCAGTGCTACTCCCCTCTCCAAAGGCCCTGACAGGAAAGTGACCAAACAGCCCCTGCCTGAATACCTCCAATCTACATCTGGCCAGTGTCTAAGAAGCCCTTCCTTATACTGAGCTGAAACCTGCCTCTATATATAACCTCCAACCACATCATATTCTGCCCATTGCCTCTGGTTCAGATACTTGGGTATAACAAAGAACTGGACCAAATGAGTCTCTGGGTGAGTCCATGTACCCATACTAGCCATGGATCTCATTCAAAATAAATTTTTCAATTCTTTCTTCCAACCCACCACCAATTGCTCTAAGAGAGCTTTATGCTCTATTTATTTTCTAAAAGGAATCAAATGCATAATAATTTGGGGGATAAGCTATTTTAAGGATTTGTGCCTAACATTCTGTTTCTTAAGGCTATGAACCAACCTATTATTTTACAAACAGGAAAATTCCATTTGCAATTCACAGAATTTCAGCCCTAGAAGGGCTCCCAGAGGGATAGGATTGGTGCTGGAGGAAAGGGAGAACAGTCGACCTTGAGAAGGCAGAAGTTTTCAGCTTTTATTTTGCTTTCTCTGCCAAGAAAAATTATCTTTGGACTAGACAGGGCAGGAAAAAAAATGGCTAACAATGAGTTGGTACCCAATAGAAATAAGCTGGGAGTAAAGAAGGCACCTAGCTGCCCTTGGCCAGGTTATCACCTGGCCCAGATAGACTCCATCCGAAGTGCTGACAGAACCGGCAAGGGGACTGCTGAGCTGCTATCAGCCATCAAGTCCGGCTCTACTACTGACGGTCACCCAATATAGGTCACTTCACTTCTGAGTCCCAGTTTCCTGATTGTAAAATGAAAATGTCTATAAAGCTGGGAAGAAACAGCAAGAACTATTACTAAAGAACACCAAAGAAATGCCAGGTATGATCACTTCATTTCTTGCTGCAGCAATCTGGGGGTGGGATGCTCCTCAGTCCACAGCAGTTATCACTACTCTCAAGACTCTCATCTTTGGGAGCAGCTAGGTGGCACAGTGGATAGAGCATCGGCCCTGGAGTCAGGAGGACCTGAGTTCAAATCCAGCCTCACACACATAACACTTAGTAGCTGTGTGACCTCGGGCAAGTCACTTAACCCCAACTGCCTCACCAAAAAAAAAAAAAAAAAAAAATTAAGATTCTCATCTCTGCTGCCCTTTAAGATTGGAAAGAGCTTCCCCCACAACAATCCCATGAGTCGGGTAGAAGTATTATTATCTCCACTGCAGAGGGAAGGGAAAAGGTTCATGAGGGTTAAATAAGTTGCCCAAGGTCACAAAACCCATCAGAGCCTGAACATGGCCCAGGTCTTCTAAGGTCAAATCCAGCAATCTTTCCATCACACTACCTCTGCACACATAAATAATTTCTAATGTAGATTCATACCCAAAGGAATAATACCCAAGTTATTCTTCTGTTATACAGGTGGACTGGAGGGTGTTGGGAGATGCTCCAACTGGGACAATCTTAAAGCTGGAAGGGACCTCAGAGATCATATACCCGAAGCACCTCCTATAGGCACTTCGGGGTTAATTTATCTATCCAAAGTCATTCAGGCCATGAGTAGAAAGCAAGAACTCATATCTAAGTCTTTAGACTCCAAATCCAACCCTCTTTTTGCTAAGCCACATACCTCTCCTTCACAGGTCTTTCAGGCATTTTGCCTGATTCTCATCAACAGTGTGTGGGAGATTAGGATTGGTATCATTCTTACCAGTCCATCTTGTTTTCTCTAATAGACTGTCCTTTCTATCAGCCCCACTCTATCAGTCTCTCCCTGACTAGCGGCTGCTTCTCTATTGTCTACAAATATGTCCAGGTCTCTTCCATCCTCAAAAACCCTTCACTTGATTCTTCCATCCCCACTATCATCCCATATTTCTTCTTCTTTTTGGCAACTAATCTTCCTGAGGAGTCCTTCTATAATCAATGTCTCCACTTCTTTTCCTTTTTCAATTGTACTTCCTTCCCTCTGTTGATAATCTCCAATTTATCCTGTCTAAATCACTGCGTACAATTGTTTGCATGTTGTGTCTCCAATTGATTGTGAGCTCCTGGAGGAGAGGGACTATGTATTTGTCTTTGTATTCCCAGTGCTTAGCACAGTTCACATAGCAGGCATGTAAATGTCTGACTGACTCTTCTTAACTCTCTACAATCCAGCTTCTGACCTTATCATTCCACCAAAACTGCTCTCTCCAAAGGTGCCAATAATCTCAACTGCCAAAAACCAATGGCTTTTTCTCAGTCTTCATCTTTCTTGACCTCTCTGCAACTTTTTTTATGGTAATTTTTATTTATTTTTTTTTGTTTTCAACATTTACTTCCACAAGATTTTGAGTTCCAAATTTTCACCCCATCTCGCCCCTCCCCCCACCCCAAGATGGCATGCATTCTAAATACCCCTTCCCCTAGTCTGCCTTCCCTTCTATCTCTTCCCCCCTTCTCTTATCCCCT